GGGAAAAGTGGTATAGTGAAGACATCTCCCTCTTTTGTCTCAGCCTTTGCTTGTAGAGTTTCTATTACATTTTCCATCTCTTTTTGGATGATAGATTCCAAGTTTATCAATATAATGTTCTAAGTTTTTATACTGCTTCAAGCCATTGGGCTCTGCAATGCTCTGTGTTGGACAGATCATTATGAATGAGCAGTACGCCCTGAATCATTTGACCTTGTTATTACTGCATGGTTCCTGAGTCTATCATCCAAGAGAGACTATTATGTCCCTACACATTTTCTCTGTTACTTCAAATAAAAAAGATCCTTCACATTCCCATGACTGAAATAGCATCCTCCATCACCTTCTCTTATTAGGATTACTAAGTGCCTAAAGGGAACTTCTGTAAATGTTTTTTGGTATTTTTTAGAGTTCTTAAAAATCAATAAATAAAGATAAATTATATATCCATATACCCACAAATACAGATTTATTTGACTCCTAACAAATTAAGGAGTATGCAACAAAGGTTATAGTTTTATAGTGTCAAATGAACTTTTTTCATTATTCTAAACTGGAGTATCATGCCTGTTCTGCACATTTTTTTTCTTTCCATGTCATTTCTTATCTTTTAAAAGCTTCATTGATGATTTGCACTTTCTGTAATGTATTCTATTCTTAGTTTAATCTTAATACTTGATAATACCTTTCATGAATACCATAAGTATATATAGCGGTTCCATTTTGTATGTTTGGGTTCTCTCTCAAATTACATAGCAACAATGGGAAATTACAGATGATTTTTGTGGAGTCTTTTTTTCAAGTAAAGCATTTTTGGAAAGCTCAATCATTATCAAAGCAAGGGGGAAAAATTTAAAAGAAACTGGCTAAGCCTCCATTTATGAATTCTACCTTTTTACAGAACCACCCATTCAAAAAACATGAACAAAATATCTATTTCATTTTTGTTTTGTTTTGATTTTTGGTTATACCACACTTCTTAAATGCTTCTTTTAGAAAGCTTCTCACTACGTCCCACCCTTAGGAGATAAAGATATAAGAAGTGCCATATACTAGGTCAGACTAATGATCCACCTAGCCCCATATCTCATCTCTGACAGTAACAAGTAGTCAATGCTCTGGATGGAAAGTATATATACAGGCCATATTGGCAGAAGTTAAAATCTAGAGACACTCCCTAATTTAGAAGAGTTGGGAATTGGGAGATGGTCCCTCAGTTAGATATTTAGAGAGAGACCAAGGGTCTACAGAGGTTGCCTAGTGCTTCACAATGAAGTTCACAGTTTAGTTCTCCTCATTCATATATGCCCTTTATTTATTGGAACCAGTGATTGCTACATGATGTCAAAAGTAGCAAATGAGAGAATTTGAATGAATTTGAGTTCCCAACTGTACAAGAATTGAAAACTGAAAGCCTGTGGAGCAATGCAACCACCTGGGCAAGGGCAGAAAACTGGAGGGCATTCAGACAGGAGTTTGAGTGGTATCTAGCAGCCACAGGGGCAGAAGAGAAAATAACAACACCAAATCCTCTGTCTTCTTGCATCTTGTTGGGGAGAAAATCCTGGCTGTTTGTAACACATTTACCTTCAAACAAGGTCAAAATATGAAGTTAAGTAAAATACTGTACAAATTTGAGGAGTACTGCAGGCCAAAATGAATGAGACTCTTGAAAGATTAAATGACTTATGTGTAGATGAATAGCAGGAGAAAGTATAGATCAGTATGTTACTGAACTTCTGAAAATGAGTAAGCACTAGGCTTTTGGGAACTTGACTACATTTTTAATTTGAGATAGGATTATCTGTGTCATTGCAAGAAAGGATCTCGCATAAAGAATACTACCCAAATGTGCAATGCAGCAGAAACTGTGAAGGTCTAGGCTGCACAGCTGAATGAACCAAAAGGGGTCATTCAAGCAGTAGACTAGAAAAAAATGTGACCAGAAAATGCCACTTTACCAGGTTAAATTTTCCTCAGGTAAGCAGCCACCTCACAGAGTTTAATTTTTCATTGACAAGGAGAATGCTAAGGGAGAGAGAGCAAGTAAGCAGAAGTGTACCAAGTGTGGAAGGCAACATGGCCCCAAATGTTGTGTTGCTTTTGGAAAGCTCTGTTTTACCTGTAACGAGAGGAATGATTTTACTAGCTGCTACAGATCCCAAACACAAAAATCTCAAGTGCATGCAGTTAAGAATATACCAAAAGAATTTTATATAGCTAAAGTAGAATCAAGCAAAATCAATGAGAGAGACTGGATTTTACCAGTGGAAGGGCAAGGAGCAAAGGTTTTATTTAAATTTGACAATGGAGCTTAGGTTAATATTTTACCAGAACATGACTATAGAAAATTGAAAAGTGAATCCAACAAACTTTAAAATAACTGGCTATGCAAAAACGTTATCCCTGTGAAAGGTAGATGCATTGTTAGCATCCAGTATAAAAACAGAGTATACAGACTCCTATTCATTATGGTACGTAGGGAGGTGACACCAAGTTTAGGTCTGGCAGCTTGTGAGAAACTGAATCTAGTTAATAATGTGTTTGCAGTATAATAAGACATAATATTTATGATTTCTAATGATCCTCTTAGCTGTCATAGCCCAAATCTGGACAAACTCCTTAGGAAGAAAACAACTGTTCCAGGACACAAAAAACAATTATATCCTTATGGGAAGAAATGTACCTATGGACACAAATGAAAATGCTATGATGCAAAAAGAAGAAATCAGCCCCAACGATGCATAGCTGATGAATGCTTCACTGTGTGCAAAAGCACAGCTGCCAAAAGTGCAAGTAAACCAGCTCCTACTGTAAGGATTCAAGTCTATCAAGACTTAAAGGAAAAGCTTCTCACGAAAAAAAAAATCAGAAATTCTGTCTAATACTTTGATAAGATAGTGAAAACTCCAAAAACACTCAGAGACTTGTAAAAAGAACTGCAAAAAAAGAGGGAATAGGAAACTAAGTGATAAAGACTCATTCCAGAGTGACATGCTAGAAACCTCTATCCCATAGATGGGTGTTAATGGAATTTTGTATTAATTTATTTTTGTAGCTATTGTTAAGAGAGACGATATAGTGATAGAAGTTATAATTATGGGACATTCCCTAATTAAGAAGACTTAGGAATTGGGAGATGGTTCCTCAATTAGGTATTGCTGCTAGTTAAAGAGAGACCAAGGGTTTGCAGAGCTTGCCTACTGCTCCACAATACAATTCAGTGTTTAGTTCTTCACATATGCCTGTGTTTATTGAAGCAGGTTATCACTACACAGCGTGTCTAGTATAGTCCATCTGCTATCATACCCTACCTAGCATCAACCATTAGAGGATAAAGAAGATCTCTGACTGTTCTTTTTTTAATAGCTGTGGATCTCTCCTCCATGAATTTGTCTAATCCCTTTTGAATCTGGTGATACTATCTACCTAGTTATAGAATGATAATATCAGGGGGATTGATTATTGTGTACTGTTAATATGGTTGTGAAAATTAGGCTAGGTCCAAAAGATAAGCACTACAAGTCTAAGTATAGGCAGTCAAAAAGCCCAAGGCCAAATTGATTCAATCTTTGCAAGTTAGTTTAAGCTGCAAAGATTGAACCATTAAGCAAATGAGCAGTCATTTACTTTTGATTTAGGAAATACAGCCACATGCCTGCAGTATGTAGCCTACCATGCTTATCCTTTGGTGTCTGACGGAACTTCTCACCTGGAGAAGGTGTACTCGTTCCCTGGTGCGTAGACAGCTTGAAGTTTGTGCATCTGCGTGGGCGCTGTAAGTTCTCACCTTCCACGTCTTTGGTCTTATGAAAAATAGAGAGGCTGATCTTCAACACTGTTGTACAGCTCTCGCACAGATGACACAGGTCCCACATCTCAGGACTCCACCTCCCCTACATCATGGGGACAAACACAGGTAGAGTATGAGCAGAAAATATTCACAAAGTCCTTCTCTGTCATTAAGGATAAAAGAAACAAAATCCTCAGAACCGGCATGGCTCCTCCAATCAGGAGGTAAAACGTTTGTAGAAGAAGCACAGTGTATAGGCCCAAGACTAAGGGAAGTTGGCTTACCTTCCCCTGTTACTCAAATTACCAATTGCTCAAATCATGAGTGAGACTTTATAACGGGGGATAATTTAATGCCGTGTTTATTGATTGCATGAGTTAGACATAGAGGTTCAGACACACCATTTATACAAACACATGCAAATCATCATCACACTTCATTACACACAGGCATACACATACACAAAACAACCATTTCATCCACACATACATCAGATATAGTTACCAGCAATAGTTGCTCAATATCAGCCCAGGGTGGCCAACCCAGGCTTATTGAGTAGATGATGATGATTTGAAGATAGCAGATTTGAAGATAACAGCTGGAGTGGGGTGCACAGATGCATCTGTGCTTTGATGAAACAGCAGTAGAGAAAGAGACTCACCCAACTTGGCATTTTCAAACTGTTCTTTTCTAGTGATTGGCATCCTTTGTTTCAGTGCTTTGGGGTTTTTCCATACCCAGCTTCTGTTTTTGCAGTTCTTTTGTCTTCAGCTTATCTTAGCCTTGGAGTGTTCTTGTTGCCTGTCTGGCAGAATTTCTTCTGTTATCTCCTTTGTGCCCTCGAGCTTCAAAGGAATTCTTCAATCGTTTGTTAGTTAGTTACTGACTGGTAACTTACATTTGGCATCTTTTTGCTTACATAAGCAGTTAAATCTTCTTCTCCCATCTCTATGCCATTCTCTCACTATTCACCCTTTTACACACACTCATACGTAAAGGCTATGCAGACTTTATTCACTATGCCAAGCAGAAGGATACAAAATGGAGTTTTCAAGTTGCTTACAGGACAAGACTAACATGGTTATATTTCACTATTATTACACTCTGTGTTAACATAAGCTACATTAGTTCAGTTCATGCTACACCCCTTTACTTGGTTCTTTTACTCATGACTGTCTGTCTTACAGGTTGTTCTGGCCTGCCTCCAGCCGTCATAACTACTGAGAACCAGTCCCCACCTTCAAGTAAGTTGCCGGGCTCCTCTGAGCCAGCTTCGGTGTGAGCCGCTTGCTGCCGCTGTTCCCTCCATTTGCCCCTGCCAGGGCAATCCTTCCAGTACGCAGGTGCCGCGGTGCTGCTGCAGCAACTTCTGGTTCCCCCGCCTGCCTGCTCCAGGTGAATTTACAACTCTGCCACCATGTTCCGCCCCTCCCATTGGGATCGGCGAGCACTTGCGAGATGGGTTCGACCTTGGTCCGGCATCCCCTGGCGTGCCCACAGTACCTCCATGTCACGATCTGTGTTTCTCAGCCCAACCTTGCGTGCTGCTGATTGAGCTCTGCTGCCGCACAGTGGCTCAAGCCAGAGGGTTTGAGAGCATGGCTCTCTGGCACATAGCCAGCATGGGCTGTGTGTTTATTTCCTCTTCCTGCTGCCCCTAAGTTCTCTAGGATTTGCAGTCCAGACTTACAGCAGCAGGACTCTGCAGGGTTGCTCATCACTTCCTCTTCCTGCTTCCACATGCCTCTGGGATTTGTAGCCAGCACTAAGCAAAAAGGGAAGCTCTGTACTTGGGGGAAGGGAAGCTTAACTCCCCTCCCTGGCCACAGACACCAGCAGGGGTGTGCTTGGGGAAGCCACTGAGGCCAATAAGCTAGCTCTTACTGCTCCAGCTAGGGAGCAGAGAGTCAGGCCCAGCCCTGCTCTCTGGAGCAAACAGCCCAGCCCAGCCTAGGGCTGCAAAATGCTGGGATGCTGAGGGACTCTGATTTAACTTGAACCAGGAAGGGGTCTGGGACAGAAGTTTCATAAACCAGTTTGACCTAAATCAGTTAAGTTCGATAACTACATTAAATCAGGCTTATCTTAAACCAGTTTCAGCCATTTTGAAACTGGTTTATGTGCACTGAACTTCTGTTCTGTTACAGGTTGAAAGCAGTTTCTGATCACTTAAACTAGTTAATGTGCAACTTCTGTCCCTAGCCCAAGAGGCTTATGTGGCTTCACAAAAAGTCTTTTAGTTTTCTGGAAATGAAAAGACCTTCTGTTGGTACCTGTCTGATGCCTCTTTTCACATGTTCTTACTTTATTTTAGTATTGTGACAACATCTTGTAAGGAATGCCATATTATAAAAGGTTTCATGCGAGTCCATCATTTTTTATACTAGTCTGCCATCATTTCTGAGCAACAGTGCTCCGGTGTTCTTTGGGGTTTTCCATATAAAGGCTTCCATGTAAAAGCCTAGGCATTACTTTCAATATTTATTTTAGTATGGCTTTCTTGATTTTGTACTTCATTTAATTGGTTTTATACTCTGCCTTTACTGTGCTTTACATTTATTAATGTCACATGGACCAGTTGTTCCACTTATTAACAAGCTGAGAAACCTGTTGAATATCACTTGATTCATACCCTATATTTGCTGTTTCTCTGATCTGCATCCATAACAAAATTTCTCTTAGATCGCTACATAGATAAATAACATCTGCTTTATGTAATGAAGCAGCTCTTATCAATTTTCATGTTCTAAGCTGTGTACCCAAAGCTCATCTCTTAAGCAAGATCCTGTCATGAGGAACAGTTTATCAACATCTTTTTGAAAATCAAAATAAATGATTATGTATGCACTGCCATTATCAATGTCTTAAAAACTAAAAATTCAAGGACATTAGTTAGGTTCTCCATGCTGATCATGCCCTGCTGGATTATTAGTATATATGAACTATTCTCATTTTGCTTTCAGTGTAGTTTGTGTTGTTTTTAATGTCAAAGTCCTGTAAGCTAATGGCCCTGTATGGTCCTGGAATAATTTACCATACAGTTTTGATCACAGTAAACATGCATGTATAATCTCTCATTTCTATACTGAATTAATAACACCTGCATACTTCCCTATAATAAGTCTATACCACTGAAATCAAAGGGAATTTTGACATTGACCTCAAAGGGAGAAGTATCTGATGCCAAGCACACTTCTCCCTCCCTACCTGGCAGTATACATGACAAGTGCTTATGAACTCCTCAGTATAACAATATTATAACAGATGCCTAAACACCACCTATGGATCCGTGTTTTTTTTCATAAACATGTGCTTGTAAATTTCTTGATTAGAAATTAGGAAAGCAGTATTTTTATGCCTGGAACTTATTTACCACAGTGACTGGCATTGTCCTCTCAAATTCTGCTCACTCTTTGGCGCCTGGAAATTAATTTGATTTGATTCAAGAGGCTTGTTAGTTTTAAATTGCCTACCTGCCTCACTGATCTTTGAGTCATCCAAGGAGTTGATTATATTCATTATACTCAGGTGAAAAACACTATAGACATGTCTATATATATATATAAACGCTCAGATTGGATTACATGCGTTTACTCTCTCTAAACGCATTTGAAAATTTCTATTTGCCTGGGGTGCAGTAATAGTGCAATGTAGCATGAGGACCAGAGAAAATCCTGAAGGACACTTTTGAGACTGAGCCTGTTGTTGAGGGGTCACACATAAACCCTCCATGCTTTAAAATTGACATGCAGCTCTTACCAGTGTGCTTCATGGATTATGTCTTGGTGACATTCTGAGATAAGGTAGTAAGATTTCGGCTATTAACATATTTTGAAGAAGAAAGTAGGGTAGAAACTCAAAAATGGTAGACATGGTGCTGAGAATACTAATGAAGAGCTCTTCATCAGTGCAAAGTCACTGTGGCAGTAATGGATGAGCTATCCCAAATAGTAAAGGAAGCCAACAGTGTTAAAATGAGAGCAAAGGAGTAGACGTGGAGGGGGAGGAGGGGGGGGCAGGAAGGCATAGAATAATGACTCATATCCAGTAGTTATAGAAAATAAACACTCATTTTGGGATTTTTTTACCTGGGCCCTGGACCAAGATAACATTTGAAGCTCCTCAAAGGCCAAGCAGACAGACATATATGACCTATAGCCAAGGCACTACAAAAATAGCTCTGGAGTGCGAATATTTAAAAGCACTTCATTTTAAAGCACTTCCCATTACAACTGTGTATTCTGCAAAGCCTAACAGGGGGTTAGTCAGTTTGCCCAGCATCCCACAGTGCTCTGCCCTACCCGTTGGCAGGGGGACATAGGCAGGGGCAGGGGAGAGGAAGGTAAACACCCACTGAGTGCTCTCCTGCTTACTTGGCCATACCCAGGGCCGGAGAGCAGGAATCCTTGGATGCCACACCACCTTCATTCTCCCAGTTCCCTTACAGGGGCTGAGGACCTCTACTCTCCAAGTTCTAGCAGGGGAACACTTGGCTGTCCTCAGCAATCTTACATGCCTCTACACCTCTGGACCCAAGAGACCAGAGGCTTAGAGCACAGAACATTCACTGACTCTGCCTTGCTCCCTTTCCCCTGTTGTGTCCAGCAAACAGATGTCAAGGGGGCAGAGGTGAAAGACTGAGATCATGCTATTGCATGCTGTTGCAGTGATCTGAGGTGTTCTGGTTGAGGAGGGATGCTCTGAATTTGAAGTACTCCAAATTACAGTAGAATTTGTAGCATTTTGACTAAATGTCTGTGCAAGGCCTGATGCTTCACTCTTTTATGTCATCTGCAGAAACATCTCTATTTTCCTTTTCAGGGCAATGTATGTGTCTCCCTTCCCTTCCTCATATGTGATGTCCAGTGGCATTTCAGCCGTTGTTACTTGGAAACCCTTACCCAGAAAGAAGAGTTTGACAATGTAGTCTAAAGCCCGTTCATTCTGGGTTCATTTTGACTTCTAGTGATAAGGAGTTCCGTAGCTGTGGCCATTATTCATTACTCACATGTTTTCTGTTACATAGTCTGTAATATTAAGAGGAAGATTTCAAATTATACTTCTGATCAATTCATGGGACATCCCTTTATAGAGGTACCTCATGGACTAATAGAAATAGAGAGGGACCTTCCTCCTGAAACCAGCCTCTCTGACCAGTCGAGATCTCATCAGCTACAGCCAAGAGGAGAGGTACAAGAATCCAGCTGTGCTCTTATAAGCCCTCACAGAGCTTGGATGTCAGGGATATCAGCATAACCGCTTTCCAGTTGTTTGAATTCTTACCAACTGTTTGGGTTTTTGCCCCAAATTCTTCCAGTTATTTCTCTCTCAATTATTCAGTTCTATTTCTCCCACTCTCATCCCATCTCATCTTTCTTTCTCTCTCTGTTTGTTTTTCTCCAGTCACTATTAAAAGACATTTTAACTGAAGATAAGTGGAGCTAACAGATAGAGTGCTATTGATTTTTCTGATCACTTTGTTTGTATGTTGGACCGCTGCCCTATTTTTTTAATAAGTTGTATAAGGCTTGGTTCAGTCTTGTTTTATTTGCCCAACATCTAACACAGTGGGGCTGTTTTTCTGTTCTAGGTCTATAGCCATTATATTAATACAAATGTTACATAGTGGTTGTTGACTGATTTTCCTTAGATACTTCATCTGTAATGAACTGAATAGAGCCATCCTGGAATTAAGTATAAGTTTACAAGGAGACATCTCAGAATTTTTCTTTTCTTTAATTTCTTTAACACTGGATATGCAGGAAAGCAGAATGTAGTGTATAGAGTTTAATCAATCTTATTTTTCCTTCATTGTTGGGATAGCCCCATGTATAATGGGGCCCTGCCCTGATTGGGATCACTAGACATGTTGCAATATCAAAATTTAATTATTATTATTATTACTACTAATAATAATAATACAGTCATGATAAACCTTCGTCACAAAACACAGAAAACATATCTATGTCCTATGGTGTTGTCCTTTAAGTATCTCCAGTTAGTGGGCTAATGCCTTACTTGTATTCTTATTGCCCTCCAGAGTTGTGCTTTTTAAGTTTTGGCACTAGCTTATGATTTCTTTGTTGCATCATTTTCAACACAATGCAGATCCATGGCTCCTCTCTTTCAGTTGTAATTTGCTAACACTGTTTTAGGCATTAAGATCTAGGCATCACATGTTCCTGATAGAACCTCTGACATCCAATCATTTCTTCCTTGATGATATTATATGTATGAGAACTTCCTCTATTAATATTAGAAAGATTGAAATAGCACACTGTTCACTGTTCTATCGTCTTTGCAGTGCTTTCATTTCTTACGTGAAATGACAGAGATGATCTCTACACACAGCAATAAAGTTCTTTGTCACTTTAGAGCTAATGTCTGTTACTGCGGCAGTGAAAACAGCAATATTTTTCACTCCATGGAAAACTCCATGGCATGGTAGTCCTTCATAAGTCTCTTGAAAGTCACAATTAGATTCAGAACTCTATGACATTCAACATTTTGCTTCCAGTTCGTACCATATTTTCTCACATGCAGCATGTTCTGGAATAAGATGCATGCCTTGTTTTAGAAAGGCAGAATGAAGAAAAAAGATATTTTCCTGTAGTAACTAACTGAGTAGCAGCAGCTGTGAGCTTGCTCATTGTTCTGTTCCTTGTGGATCAAGTGCAGACTTGACTTTCACTTTTGTCCAGTAAGTGGCAGGAACTGCTCTTACTATAGTCTTGTATATAATGCACACTCCAATTTCCAGCAGCTGGTTTTTGGAGAAAAGGTTCATGGTGTAGATGAGAAAATACTGTGTTCATGAAATGATTATCTGGCCCTGGAATGTGTTCAGTCTTTTAGGCAGCGGAAGGATAAAGTGCACAATATGCTGTCCAGAATGCTTCACTACAAACAAATGACAAACTGTTCAGAAGAGAAGAATTGAAATTACACATAGATTCAATTCTCCAGTAGTGATAAATTTTACCTGGCTTCCAGAAGATCTGGGAAGGTGCATATTCCAGTATCCTTATGGAAAACGCCACGCTGGCAACTTTCTTTCCTCTGCCTTAAGAATGCTCCAGACCTAAAACGTCTGCTGATCACAACTGCAGCAGTGTGGAACAGAGAAAAAAGTGGCCTTTCACAGCCTAGATACCAGCCAATGGCAGACTTTGAAGGTGAAGTCAATGCATAGAATTCCATGCGGACTCTTGCAGTGGTTCAGAACCCATAATGCCAGCTGCAGTACTGAGATGATTAAAGTCCAGCTGTATGGTATGTGTTAGTATTTGCCCAACTATTATTTTACATGTTACTTGGCACGATAGTCTGCCTTTCTAAAAATGCACTTCCACGCTCTTATCCTACCAGGGAGCTGTTTCCAAAGAGTTGCCTGGATTAACTCTGAGATCCTGAGCCGTGGTGACAGCCTCAACCTTGGCTGCATAGACAGGCAGGAAGAAAATCAATTGCAGCTGCACATTTTCAGAA